AGGGATTTCTTTAACTGTGAGTCTATTTGTATATATTAGCTTCGTTTTTTTTTTAGTATCTAGGTAATGTTTGGGGTAATGGGGTATTGATTAACTCGCATCACAAGTTACTCGAACGATACTCATGATCTTTATCTATCTCTATGTGACCAACAATCTTGCAATCACGTTCACTATTAAACATGCTGGAAGAAGCTTGACATATGCTTTACATTATTAAACGGTTTTAATATCCTTTTGAGATTTGTTTTTCCATTAGATTATCACTTGTGAGGTTGTTTTATTTAATTATGCTTGTGGATTGGGAAACAATATGATTTGACTGACTGAGTCTTCGAATCACTAATCAGTCTGACTGCGTCTACAATGCTGGATGGACAGAAGATCTTCGGAAAGTAATTGATCACATACATTCTCAGTTCCCAGAGGCTCCTCTGTTTGCTGTTGGAACAAGCATCGGTGCCAACGTCCTGGTATATTGCCCCTCTATATCCTTAGTCTTGCAACGACTGGTTGTGGCGACCATTGTTTGTTCTTATCGTCTTACCGTTTGGGTATCCTTACTTTTATAATTGCAACCTCATCCAGGTAAAATATCTTGGAGAAGATGGGACTGATACACCTCTTGTTGGAGCTACTGCTGTGTGCTCTCCTTGGGATCTTTTGGTCAGTAAACTCTCACTTCCACTCTATTGAAATTAACGTCTCCCTTTATTTCACGAATAATGTTTGTGTTTCACATCATTGTCATTTGGTTGCTTTAGCTACTGGCTTTTGTTGATGTTCTCCCCCAAGAAAAAAGTTTTTCTTCGTTTCACTTTCTTTTTTGGTTCATTCTCATATGTTTGTCGTCTTGTAATATTCCTTCACTCTACGTGTTCTTCCTTCTACCATGCATTAATGTTTAAAATTTCCAGATATGTGATAGGTTCATCAACCGCAAACCCGTGCAAAAACTATATGACAGAGTGCTTACTGTTGGTCTACAAGGCTATGCACAAATGTATGTCTAAATATTCTTGTCTTTTACTGTTTACTGTGTATTTGACCAACCTTCATCTCCCTTTAGTCTTGTCTTTATTGTTCTTTGCACATGGTTGTCCCTGCAGGCACCAATCCATCATTTCTCGTATAGCCGATTGGGAAGGCATTAAGAAGGTGGATTATTGATATTCTATTTATATGACCTTATCAGGTAAATTCACTGAAAAGATTCGTTCCTTTTGTGTCTTGTTGTTTTAGTCACGTTCAGTTCGAGAGTTTGACAACTACGCCACCAGACTTGTAGCCAAATTCGAGGTACAGTTTTCGTTTCATATTTCTCGGTATACTTCGTTTATATATCCTCTACTTCCACTAAGCCAGTAAAACTTCCACTCTTTATCGCAGACAACTGATACATACTATAGACATTCAAGCAGTGCGCAGTTTGTGGGAAATGTCGCTGTTCCGCTTCTTTGTATCAGTGCTTTGGATGATCCAGTTTGTACTAGGGAAGCTATTCCTTGGGATGAATGTAGGTAAGAATATCTTTGCTTTTACTCTTTTCATCACTATTAATCGGCGTCATTCCTCTGGTTCTTCTTTACTGTAGGGTCACATATAAGTCTTTAGGAGTCATTCAGATGAATAAGTAATTAGACGTCACCTTAGTAGCATTCAGAAAATAGTTGGGAGGGACAGTTAATATAAGGGACTTACGTTAACTAGATCTGAAGTTATCATAGTATTTGGGGAGTTTTGGCTCTAGAACTCATTTCAATTTGGTTTTGTTCTTGGATGCTCTAGAAAATTTGACAAGATCACTGTTGCTAAATTGAGTTGGTGAATTCTGGAAAAACAGAGCTTCTCTGTTCCGTCAGTGTGGCTAAATTAGAAAGTGACATTAGGCATTCTAGGAGAAACTTATGTTCCAATGTCTCAACTTTCGCAGGGGAAACAAAAACATAGTTCTGGCAACCACAACACATGGTGGTCATCTTGCTTATTATGAAGGAATTACAGCAAAAAGCATGTGGTAATCATTCTGCGTAATCATCTCACAATTTATCCACAGAGATTTCTTTCATTAGGAGTGAACATGAAATGTGTGAAACTGTACTGTATAGGTGGGTTAGGGCTGTGCAAGAGTATTTTGAAGTGCTTCTCTCCAGCCCTTATGCAGACCGAAGGCAAAAGGTACAAGGAAATTTACTTTTAGTCCATTATCATGACGTGATCCACTCTCAGCCTCTTTGAAGATATTCATCATATTATACTTTCAGACGCAGATCATCCCGGTACCTTTTGAATCTGCGATTGATCAGGGACCATATATTGTGGATACTGGAGAAGACGGGATGGTTGCTGCTGCAGCAGCAAGTGAAGTGGAGACAACAAGAGCTAATGCAGAAGAAGAGAATAGTGCTCAAATTGAAAAGACGAGTTATCATCTACATAAAGACAAAACTGGTCAAGGTTATAACAGTGTAATCGGTCCTTTGATGAATAGGGTGGATCAGCTTTCAAGATACAGCAGGAAATCGGTATGGATATTAGCCTACATTGCTATAGTCACTACTTGGCCACTTCTAGGACCTGCGCTTTTGTTATCAATCAAGAAAAGATTGAGGAGGTTCATAAAAAAATAGAATCATAACACTCTTATAACTTTTGAATGTATCCACTGTAAACTACTTGATACATAAGGCTGCGATAAGCCTTTGCCAATAATACTATACAAATCTCTTACATGAACATCTGAACAATTAAAAATGTTTTAAGAGTTCAAATGAAACGCAAGGGGTTGTTAGTGGGACTTAGATTTCTATAGAGTTTGTTTATTTAAAAAGTTGAGAGATTTGTTAAATTTAGAAATAGTTGTAGATAATTTTGTATATTGTGAAAATCTATGAAAATAAAATAATGTAATGATTTTAAGAACTCACGGAAAACATGTAGTATTATCAAAATCTTGTTTTGTAAGCTAAAATGTAAAGAATTCAATTTTCGATAACACTTACTTTAATAGATTTGTAGAACTATTAAAATCTAAACTTTTTGAATAACAAATGATTTTGTATAGAATTACAGAATCATCAAACCAGTAACACTAGATTTTAATAAGAATGTGAGAATCTATAAACTAGGCTTAGACATTTTACTCGTACCTGAAGACTCAAACTGGAACCGACCCAAAAATACAAGTTTGGATCCAAGTCCGGGTCCATGCTAAAATACCTATTAAGTCTTTTTCTTTGGACACACGAATCTTAGGTCGGGTCCGGTTCCTACCCGAGAGACGATTGAGTACCCGAAATACCTCCAAGTTATTGTATATATTATGTATGTTTGAGTGATTGGGTATATTTTTGGTATTTCGGGTATTTTTTAAAGTTTCAGGTTTGAGTTTTCGGATATAATTTTAGGTTTCAGGTATAGTTTTAGATTTTCAGAAAATATAATTCGGGTCCGGTTCCTACCTGAGACCCGATTGAGTAACCAAAATACCCACACATTATTGTATGTATTAGGTATATTTGAGTGATTGGGTATATTTTTGGTATTTCGGGTATTTTTTTTAAAGTTTTAGGTCCGAGTTTTCGGTTATAATTTTAGGTTTCAGCTATAATTTTAAATTTTCAGAAAATATAATACATATATCGGGATAAAATTTTGGATATTTTTTTTGGGTTTTCGAGTCTGATTTTAGATAATATTTTGAATATTTTACGGATTTTTTGATACTTTTATGATTTTCTGGGTATTTTTTGGACTTTCGGATCCAGTTTGGGTACTTCGGATCTTTTTCAGATCATAAATACCCAAACCGACCCGGATACAAAATACACACAAAAATTACGAGTATTGAAATTATAGATCCGATCCAATCCGGATCCGACAAAACCCAACTCAGAACCGACCCAAAAGATTGCAGATGCCTATATTAGCCCAAATTTCCAGGACCCAAAAGACCCGGAGATAACAAGATCCGACCCAAACTCAATCCGAAGACCCGAATGTTTAGTTTACTATAAACTAATAATACTAGACTTAAAATTTTAAGAATTATTATAAATCCAACTAGATTTTGACCCGAGCTTGGAAAGCGCGGGTTTTTTTCCGATATAAAACAAATTCTTCTAAATGAATTTTTATATAAGAATGTATATGTTTATATACATTTATCTAGGTGAACCGAACTGTACCAAACTGAAAAAACAAAAGTAAAATTAAACCAAATTTCATAAATAATCGATCATATCATAGATCTCTGGAACCGAAAAATATAAACCGAACCGAGAATCAAATGGGTATTTAATTTTTAAATATAAATTATATACCTACAAATATTAATTATATATAATATCTTAATACTAAATATCCTAAAATACTATTTATAAACCAAATTAGGAAAAAATGAATTACCCGAATATTTTCTATTCAAAATATTAAAAATATTCAAATTATCTGATATTTAAACTGTAGGATATTTTACACTTCAAAATAATTAAAAAATATCATAAGCATTGTTAGAATTTGTAAAATAAATAAACATCTATACTATTAAAATCTCCAACCCATTTAGACTTATTTTATTTTTATATATATGATTAATCATTTAGTTCATGTATAAAAATATAATATCAAATTTTAATAATTGATTGCATGTAATTAATTAAATCAGTGTTTCATAGTTGAATAATTGATATTAAAACTTTTTAACTTCGAATTTATGTAAAGATACTAAATATATTAGAGTATTATAGAGATTTATTGTTAGAGTAATTATATGATATATTATGAAAAATAGTAAATGAGTTCATTTAAATTATAAAGTATTATAGAATTAGAGAAATATAAGGAAAGACGAAAAAATGTTAGTCTAATGAAAAGATCCAAACAACTTGTATAAATAGATTTATTAGGAATTTTCCCCTTTAATAGTATTGATTCTCACTGACATCTCCTAAAAAAATAAGAAACAAGAAATATTGACAGTTATGACAACAATATAAAGAGTGATTAGAAATGATGGTTACCAAAAATGTTCATAACATAATTTGGAGACAAATATCGAATATTAAACACAATACCTATAGGTTATACAAGGAGGCTAGTAATACAAAAGAAAAGAAAGACAGATACAAGAAAGGAGATCGTGTTTATATAAGTTGAACAGCTGCAATTGCAGGAATTTTCTCTCTGAGTTTCTGTGTTACTGCTACTCGTACTGTCATCACTCCAGCAGCAGGTCCTGTGATTCTGATCTTCACGATCGGCTCTTCGATCTCCACCAGCTTAAGCGACCCATCTGCTGTTCCGATTAAGTAAGGCCTGATTTCTTCCAGCACCTAAATAAAATGTTTTAACATCGCATCTCAAGACATATATCTACTATGTTCATGATTCCTAACTTTAGCATTTTAAAATATCAGCCAATCTGGACTGAGCAAGTGATAATCACAAGCACCATATCCATATGTATGGGGCTGTTCGTTTCTTCATCCAATTGAGTCATCTGAATAGAAATGAAAATTTTGTTAGTTTAGACATTAAAAGTACAAATTATCTGGGTGGCTCATCTCAATGACTTTCGAAATTATAGGCTTAATTTTAAAGTCCATTTGGATGGATTAATTTGGACCATTTGAATGGAAATGATTATGTCAAAATGGTACAAAGTCTATTAGATTTATGTTTGTGATTTGTAAATTATATAAGATTTCGGTGGGAAAATACGATTTTCCAGCAAAAAACGAAAAAATGTTTCTCCCGCAAAACCGAAAAATGCGTTTTTTACCAAAACAAAAAAAAAAACAGGTTTTCCCGCCAACACCAAAAAACATATTTTTCCCGCAAAACCGAAAAACTTTTTTTCCTGCCAAAATCGAAAACACATTTTTCCCAAAAAAACAAAAAACGCAATTTTCCCCCAAAAACCGTAAACACGTTTTTCCCACCAAAATCGAAAACATGTTTTCCCGCAAAAAAAAAAAAAAATTTTTCCCGCAAAACCAAAAACGCGTTTTTCTGCCAAAATCGAAAAATACGTTTTGCCGAAAAAACCAAAAACGCATTTTATCCCCAAAAACCGAAAAACAATTTTTTTTTGCCAAAACCGATAAATGCATTTTCCCGCAAAAACCGAAAATGTGTTTTTCTCGCAAAACCAAAAAATGCGTTTTTCTGCCGAAATCGAGAACGCCTTTTTCCCGCAAAAAAACAAAAAATGCGTTTTCCCGCCACAACCGAAAACGCGTTTTCTCCACCAAAACTGAAAAACGTGTTTTTTCCGCCAAACCCCAAAATCGTGTTTTTTCTCCCCAAAACTGGAAAACACATTTTTCCCGCAAAAATCGAAAAACGCGTTTTCCCGCCAAAACCGAAAACACGTTTTCCCACCAAAACCGAAAACATGTTTTTCACGCCAAACCCAAAAAGCTTGTTTTTCTCGCCAAAACGTGTTTTAATTAACTATTAAATATATGATTAAATAAAAATATAGGTATATTTGTAATTTGTTCATTAAACTCATCTAAATGAACATAGAAAAAAAGTAACGAACATGAAATCTATCCAAATGACTCATTCAGATAACTCATCTGGATGGAAAAATGTACATCCTCTAAAATTTGAAGGGATCATCTGGATGAAGCATCTAGATGGAGTAGTTAAATGGAGATGAGAGATGGAGAAACGAATGAGCCCATAGAGCTTATACGAAAACTAACATATCCATAGGTAGATAACCTAGAGCTTATACAAAAACTAACATATGGATATGATCTCAGAAAACTGTTTAGAATTGGAACTATACATTATATTCCTAAAGCAATCGAAAGAAAAAGCTAGAGAGTTAAATTATATTGTCTGAGTACTAACCACCTATCTATATCAAGCTCAAGATTCAGATTTCAAAGGGATACAATAACGATGAGGAATAGAGTCAACATTGATATCTTTCGAAGCGGAGATTGAGAGACAAGTATTATGACCTTGAGATCGAGATAATCCTCGGAACCCATAACTAGGCCTAGCTAGGAGACCAAAAGCGCGATGAGAGCTCAAAATCTGCCATAAATTGGATCAGAGATATACGTAGAGAAGAAGAACAAAAAGCAAATTGAAAGATCAAAATCACCTGACTAGAAGAAAGAAGACGAGAGGACGAGGAAAAAAAGGCTCAAGGCTTAGGTTTCGTGGCGCCGACATGGCTGCTGGATTTAGCGCAAACAATTGCATAGCTCCTCCACTTACCGTTTTCTGGTCGGAAAAAAAAAAACTCTTTTAAGGAGAAAGAAAACCAAATCACGACTTTGTTTCTGAAAATTCACGATGTGGGATTCCTTTTTATCGAGAAATCATCTCTAGCTCCCGTGGAGAGCCATCACTTTCAAAAAATTTAAATAAGTTATATCCTCCACTAATCTTCATACACTTCATCATTTAATGAAAATCGCAAATTAAATTCTTCCCGATCAAAATTAAACAAAAACCCGCTATCTATCAGTGAACCCATGAATAAATATTTAACTTCTATACCTTTCAAATTCGAAAAAAAAATTTTTAAAATCATTTTTAAAATCTATTTTGATAATATTTGCAAAAATATGCAAAAACAGTTTTTCGATTTTTGAAATATTTTCTATCAAATTCTATAAATCAAATAAAAAATATTGACATTTCCAATTTAATTTTATGATTTTTCGTTTGACATATAAAATTAAAAGAAAAAAGTAAGGACATTTTAGCTTTAATTTTTTCAAATAAGAGCAGTACATGCAAATCCCTCAAATTTTTAAATCTAAGAACATCATTAACCCTAAGCATTTTAATGGGGTGCTTGTAGGGAACAGATTTACATCCTACTCTCAAGGCCCATCGAATAAAGGGTAAGGACCATTACTCGGTCCGAGTAGGTGAGGAGAGTTCGTGTCCGCAAGACGACAAGGAATTCAGGACGAGTACACGTCACCGTCCATACCGAGCAAGTGGATTCAGCTCGTTTAAGAAGCCCACAGAGCAAAGGACACGACCCATTAGGATTGTCCGTACAACAACCTATAAAGGCGAAGAGATGCCAAACTTAGAAGGGATTCGAAAATAGACTGACTAGGCGGCAGCTAAACTAGGGTTTTACTCATCTTGTTGCTTTTAGATCGGTCCGTACAACTCCGGTAGCTCCCGAGCACTGTTTTCCTCTTTGTATTCATCTTCTCTTCGATCAATAAATCCCTTATTTTTCCTATTTGTTTGTTCATACCTTCGTAATAACCCACCGACGAGTTTCCGTCGATCATTTACTTGTTATCACCAGACTCGTTTCAAATAGTTGGCGCCCACCGTGGAGCATAACGAAGTAGTGTGACGAACATGGCGAACGAAGAAGATTCTTCCAGACCAGCCAGAAGAGACCCCGCCCGCTTTGACTCTCGAAAATTTCATGGATTCCGTCATGGCCCGCCTCGCTTAGCAAGACAAAACCCAGAAGGAGACGAACGCCCAACTCGCGGCCCTCGCCGCCATCTTCCCCCTCCCGATGGAGCAGTCAGAGATATTGCATCAATCCGCCGGTTTCTCTTCAATACCAACCCTACACCGACTCCGGCCAACCAGCCGATACAACCCGAGGGAACTTCGGCGGATGATTCCGCTCAACCGGCTGGCGGTTCAGACCCCCAAACTGCACGGGAAATAGCTGAGCTCAAACTGTCACTCCAGACTATAACCTCCCAGATCCATCACACTACGAGTGCTGCACCTCAGATCGATGGCGTCCTCGCCGAGTCATTGCACACTCTTTTCACAACACGAATCAGCAGCGTCAAGATCCGCCTAACTGAAAAACTCCGACTACCAACCTATGCTGGCGAAAGCGACCCGACATATCACGTGACTGCTTTCAACATCGTGATTGGAAGGTCGCGGTTCTCGGACGAAGAGAGAGATGCCGGCCTATGCCAGCTCTTCGTCGAGAGTTTAAGCGGACTGGCCTTGACATGGTTTTCCCGACTAGCCGAGAATTCTATAGACAGTTTCCACGACTTGTCATCTGCTTTTTAGAAGCACTACATCATGTTTACGCGCCAGAGAGCAACAGCCTCAGATCTTTGGAAGATGTCGCAAACTTCCGGACAAAGCCTCAAAGAGTTTATGGGAAAATTCAAAACTTTGGCCTCCAAAGTAAACGCCCCGGACAGCATGGCAGTCGAAGCCCTCCAGAACGCCCTATACGTTCATTCCCCATTCCGGCAGGACCTCTACCAAAGTCCGACTACCTCGCTGGAAGACGCAATCGCTCGGTCTCACAACTTCATCCGCATGGAAGAAGATACTTGGGCAATACTAAACAAGCAAAACTTGGACAAGTACGGCACGGCAAAAACTCATGACTCCCGACAGGATACGCGCCAGGAGCCGCGTCAATAGTCCGCAAGAGACCGCAACGACCGAAAAAGGTTACATTTACCACGTTGACGGGGAGGAGTCTCCTCCTTCCACAGTAGTGGTTCGGGGCAAAGGCTGGAACCATTACTACCGCGAAGACGACGGCGCAAAATCGCCATCCGGATCTAGGTCCCCACGTTAAAACGAGTCGGACAAGTTTTGCAAGTATCATAACACCAAAAGTCATGATACCAAGGACTGCAGACACCTCGGCGAGCACCTTATCGCGAAGTACACGACCGGACAGATCGAAGACGAGCCTCCGAAACCAAGATCAAACACCAGCAAAAGCTGGAGCAAAAAAAAGGACAAGAAGTCCAAAAAATCAAATGATAAGGCCCGACAAGAGGGAGAAACACCGTCCGGGACGTCTGACGATGAAGCCACTGCGGGACGCCCCCGAGACGAGCAAGCTGCCGACGAGGAACAACCCAAAAGCAGGAAACGAATCCAAGTCATCCTCTCTCTGAGAGAGGTGTCGTCTGATGACGGCAATGAATCTAACGACCACCGAGCACATCTTAATTCTCGACGTGAGGAGACGCGGTTCGCTGACCTTCGGGATACATTAAATTCAAGGAAAGCACAAAAGCTGGATGACCCTAGCACTGTACCGGCTACAATCCCTCATTACGGACCGACCGATCTCCGACATCACCTCAAATCCAACACCGGAGACCTTCGACACGCACTAGATAGACTGAAGACGCCGGATTAACGCCAAATACTTGACAAGAAGAAGGTACTCTGTAAGACCCAATCCTGGTCCATTGAACCCCAACCAGATCAGTGCCTTAACCTATAAAATTTCTATGTTTGATTCCGGTTTAAGCCTTTATTTAACTAAGTAATTTTAACAAACTGAGGTTCATACAATCAGAGTTATAAAAAAATAAGATAAGGGCAAACATATTGTATAAATATAAATCAGAGTGATACAAAGTATTCACGTGATTCAGTTTGCACAATAGGCTAACATAAGTTAAGTACTACATGAAACTACCCCATAACCAACACACATCCATTCCAGCCTGAGTTTTCACAGCACCTTGGCCTTGCCACGGTCCTTATCATTACCGGAAACCACACAAGCACAATCACATATAATCATAAGTCCGATAACCTAATACACAAGGCTAATACAATTGCATGGTTCTGGCCTAAAGCTATGTTCCTGCCCCATTTTGGCCAGACTAAAAAGTGCTCCAAAAATTAATGTTAAGCTTTTTAAAATACCCAAAAGATAACTAACACGAATCCAAGGTCAGAATCCACAGGAAAAATCACTAACCCTATGATCCGACTTAAAACAGCCCTAGGCCAAAATATGGTTTTTGAGAAAATCAACTCTAAATCGTTCCTAGTCTTTTCCATTAATTATTAAATATTCTAAAACATCTATCCTCAAATTTTCAAGCCATTTGATTGAGTAAAAAGTAGTTCGGGACCACTAAACCCAAATCTGGCCTGAAACAGCCTCATTGAACCGACACTTATGTACAGTTCATGGGAAGGCCTTTCTGATCACCAAACTTGCATAGAATTATCAGGAGAAGATGATATTCAAATTTAACAAAGAGAAATGGGTGTAACCAGAGTCACCAGAGACCATAAACCACATGTTTTTACGCATGGGTTCATGTTCTTTGGTTTAAACAGTCCACACCACTAACCTTAGAGGAACGACCCTTCTGACCGCGTTCCTGCTCCTTGTCCTTCTCTTTCTGCTTGTAATTCTCCTCCTGTCTGGTATCCATCTTCACTGGAATTGATTCCCACGAACACACACACCAGAAAACACCCAACCTTCACACAGTTCTTCACCAAACTTGGTTTTTCTCTCTTTCTTTGTCTCTTGATTTTGGCAGAGTTTTGCCTAAATATTTCTGATGATTAATCACGTCCAGAGGCCTTATATTTAAAGGATAAGGGTCTGCAAACTCCCAAGGGGAGAACAGGCATGACTGGTTTGAGGGAAAAGACACAAACTGCCCATTTGCACCTTTTCACATGCCACCAGTCCTAACTGCCCTTTTTGAGCGGGTGGGCCTTTAAACACAGGCCCAGGACGTCCTTATGAGTCCCCAGCCCACTTGCCAAAACCCACCAGGCCCAACTCCCATCAGAGCTTTAACCTGGCCCAGCCACAGTCCCACCTCGGCCCAGCCGACCAAGACTCCAACACTCCACTTAGCTGAGCTGAGCTGATTGGCAGCTGGCCCAGCTGAGTGAGCTAGTTCACAGCTCCTGGGACCTGACCTACACTGACTGAGCTGCCTCTGAGCTTGCCCCAGCTTCTCGAGCTCCTTCTAAGCTGTATTGAGCTGTGTGAGCTTCCCCGCGGCCTCGTCCAGCTACCATAACACTTGTCCAACTCCCTAATGTTTGTTTTCTTCTTGTTTTGGTTAAGTTTCAGCTGCCTGATCCCCTTAACCATGTTTCTAGGCAATGATACGCTTGTCCTTAGGTCATATGACCTGACTGGTGCATCTCCCCGCACCATGGCCCGTCCCGACGATCCTATCTAGGATCGGGGACATGACAAGTCTCCCCCACTTGGGATGGATTCGTCCTCAAATCCTTGTTGCATGTTTTCTTCAGAAACGAACTGATCATACCACTCCGGGTATTCAGCCTTCATCCTTTCTTCTGTTTCCCAAGTAATGACATCCTTGCCATTGTATTCCCACACGACCTTAATCATGGGAACTGTCTTCTTCCTTGTTGCCCTCTCTGCTCGATCTATGATTCTAACCGGCCTTGTCTCTAAGGTGAGGTTCTTACCAAGATCAGCAAGGATCTCATGCAATACAATGTCTTGTTTGCCTAGACATTTCCTGAGTTGAGACACATGGAATACAGTGTGGAATGCATCCATGTCTGATGGCAAGTTCAATTA